ATAACTGAACTCTAATTATCCAAGAATTTAATATATGCCGAAATTTGTTTATATAGATTGTGATTGTACTTATAATCTTCTCCTTATTTTCTTTAAAACAATAAAGAAATTGTTAAATTAATTCAAAAACATTATTTTAAGAAAAGAGCATGCGCATTAATTGAACAAAGTTGTTGTGAAACATTTTTTTTTTATATATACATCCACAAATACTCTAAAGTAAGCTTGTTTCATGAAATACGTTTGTTTTATCTCATCTATCTTTTTATTTTCCACCATGTTGATCAAATCATTTATCAACATAGTTGAAATGACTTGTATGTATAATAACATCACAACTCCAAAGCTTTCTATAATCTTGTTCAACATGATGAACACCATCAAATTTATACGCACTAACTATTCCACATAGCAATTACAAGTTCAAACTTTCCTAGAGGTAGATAAACTCCAATGTACATCCAACGCTACAAGAAACAATCTCTGTTGAATGACATATATCCCGCGAATAATATATATTTCTTTCTAAATTTTCTAAATAATATAAGGAGAATGGAGAATATTTTTTCATGATAGAAATTATTATGTAATGTAAATTACTTAAAAAATTAATTTCACCAACATATTACAAACAATTTAATCAACTCTTAAATCAATATTGTCACGTATGGAAATAAAATTATTTCAACTTTAAAAATCTTTTTTCCCTTCATGAGATGAAGAAATTATACGGGCCAATGGGCCTTTACATCATTTTGTGTAAATTTTGAATTGTAATAAACCGGTTTAAGTTTTGATTTAAATTCTGATTTAAACCGGGTCTATTGAGATAATGATATATATCCCCTTTTGTCTTCTCCAAATCCCCATCTTCAAATCACATTTTGTTCCTCTCTTATCCTTTTATCATTTTGTTTCAGAAATGTGAAGAACACAGAGAATCCATGGTAATGTCTCTTGAACAATGCAACAAGAAGCTCTCTCTTTCCTCTCCTCCACTTTCCCTTCCCTTCACCACCACCGTTACCATTTTCCTTCACTTTCTCACCTCCGCTTCCACAATTTTCCCGCACTTTCCTTCAAACCAAACCCTTCTTCTTCTTCATCGCTTCTCTTCCCTCCCAAATCCCCAGATCTCTCCTCTTTCTCCTCCACCACCGAAACCCTAGAATCCGACATCCACGAGAAGCTCCTTTACCTAGATTCTCTCGGAATCGATTTCCTCACACTAATCAATCGCCACCCTCCTCTCCTCTCCACCGCACTCTCCGCCGTTAAATCCGTCGTCGATTACATGACTACTCCACCAATCAACTTCACTTTACCGGATTTTCGCCGTCTCGTCTCCATGTGCCCTGAGCTTCTCACTTCTCCATTAACCTCACACACGATCCCAGTCATCACTTTCCTCCTCCGCGAAGTCGGTGTAGATTCCATCTTCGATCTCCGTCAAGTCCTTCGCCGTCGTCCTCGTCTTCTCGCTTGTAACGTCGATTGTCAGCTCCGACCAACGCTTTACTTTCTACAGAGAATCGGAATCTTAGATCCACACAAACACACTTACCTTCTCTCTTGTAGCGTCGAACACAAACTCCTCCCACGAATTGATTACTTTGAGAAATTAGGGTTTTCTCGTCGGAGCGCCACCGCGATGTTCCGGAGATTCCCGCAGCTGTTTAATTACAGCATCGCTGAGAATTATGAGCCGAAGTTGAATTACTTGATGGTGGAGATGGGGAGAGATGTGAGAGAGGTTCTTGAGTTTCCTCAGTATTTCTCATTCAGTTTAGAGAATCGGATCAAACCGAGACATATGGCTTGTGTGGAGAAAGGTGTGAGATTCCCATTGACTGTGATGTTGAAGACGAATGAAGCTGGGTTTCGAGATAGATTGGAGGTATGTTGTGATTCTTCTCCGCCATTGAAGACCTCGCCTTTCTTCTGTACAAAAGATTCTTGATTTGTTTTGAGTTTTTGCAAATGGTGAGAGTTTCTTGTGTTTGTCTTTTTTTGAAGGGTCTGGAGAATTTGGTGAGGAATCCTTTTTGTTAATTGATGGAGTTTTGCTTTCTTTTAGGTACATTTTGTATTGAAATGATTCTGAAGAACTCGAAAGAACGAAGCAACTGGTCTCTGCCTACATTTTGAGGCAC